GACCGAAAAGCTTTCGGAAATTCTCATTTAAAATTCGCGCGCTGTATATTTTCCGATATTTTAAGTTTATGTAGTTTGGCAGCACTGTCCTTAATTACTATGCCAAAAATGAGCGCGATCTGTCAGACAGTTCGTTTACGGCAGCTGTTGAAACCAGTTCACCTCAGTAGGGCGTTGCGAAAAAAACAATGGAAAAAAATATTGAACAAAGAGTTTGCATCAAATTTTGTGTTTCGAACGAAATTTCGTGTGCAGAATCGTTGCGAATGCTACAAAAGGCTTATGGGGAATCAGTTTTATCGAAAACTCAAGTTTATGAGTGGTACAAAGCCTTCCAGGACGGTCGTACGACCGTCGAAGACATTTCGCAACGCACTACTGAGGTGAACTGGTTTCAACAGCTGCCGTAAACGAACTGTCTGACAGATCGAGCTCATTTTTGGCATAGTAATTAAGGACAGTGCTGCCAAACTACATAAACTTAAAATATCGAAAAATATACAGCGCGCGAATTTTAAATGAGAATTTCCGAAAACTTTTCAGTCTTAATGTATTTTATATCTTGTATTCTCATTATCTGTAAATGTAAAGAAAAAACAAAATTTAATTTTTTTTAATGACATACAAGTTAAGGTCACTTTAATCGCCTTTTGCAGTGCGTCTGGGAGTATAACAGAGATACTAGAATATACCATAGATACTTAGAATTTTTAAGTTTATAAAATAGTCTTCAAAACGGAATATGTGTAAATCTAATTTCTGCTAAATATTTAAAGATTAAAATTAATTTAATTTAAGTTTTTGCTTTTTGCGATTCAAATTAAATTAAGTTACAATTAAAGTGTAGTATTCCAATACATTTCCAGAAAAAAAAAGCTGTGCACTTAAAACTTAAATTGAATTATTTGAGACTTATTGCACAATAGCATAGTTCATAAATAAAAGCCTCGTAGGTCTATGGTAGCCGAATAAAATGTATAATTATGATTAAAGGCTTTGAAGAGGACAAAAATAAGCAATTATCGAAATCAATCATATACACAAGAAATAAGTTAACTATACGCTACGATAACTTCATAATTTCCTTCATTCATTCGTAAAAGCCGACATTCTCATTACTGGAACCTGTATAATAACGAACGGCAGGAGCACCTGCGGAGCACTATCGGTAAAGAGATCAAAACAATTACATTCTATCGTTCCTGGATAAAGATGGATGCCTTGACAGATCCATCGAAATCTGTCAAGCTGCTCACAATAGATTGAAATTTAGAAAGATTGTGAAACCCTATCCTCTTCCAGGAGTTTAGAAAATTGATAATAAGTTAAAAAATTCGCATCAAGAGTAACGGAGGAACGTCTTTGAAAACTTGAAAATCCTTTTTCCATATCAAACAATTCAAATCATAATAGTAAAGTATTGCTTATATAATATTGTAATAATACTGGGTTATCAAGTTTGTGGTTCTAAAAGAAATTGTAAATATGATGTACATGTGATAGAGACATAGTTTAATTTAATCTTCATTACGTACAAAGCAGAACCATTATTAATTTAAAATTTTTGAATAAAAAAATTTTTATTTTTCCTGCCTTTTTATTTTGTATTTAATGTGTACATAATCCTCAATATTATACTCTCACAATTCAAAACAATTTTTAATAATATACTATTTTCGTTTCGTTTCTGTTTTCATCTTTATTTTTTGCGTTTCTTCTTTGCTTTATTTTCGTCATCTGTCTTCTTAGTTTCGTCAATTTTTCGTTTCTTACCACCATCATTGATATCCTTTATAGCCTTACCATTTCTACCTTTAAGAGCGTTATGGTTGGAACTACATTTGTTAACTTCAAATGTAGATAAATGTTTTTTATCCGGGGTCCAATCGAATAACAAATCCATTTTAAAATCATACGACATAAATGTACGATTAAATAACTTTTTCAAAAAATCGTAGTCTGGTTCGTTTTCAAACTTAAGTGATCGACAGTACAGCATATACATCATGAAATCATCAGGGAGTCCACTACATAAGTCTTCTACATTCGTTGATATTTTTATTTCAGCAATTTTTTCAAATTTTTGAGAGTCCGTTTCGCCACTGAGACCGTCCCAAGGTAAATTACCTCTGTGGAAATATATAAGTAAATATCCAATCGCCTCCAAATCATCACGCCTTGATTGAGTTCTACTTCTCAATGCGTTTATGGAGGCGAAACTCCAAGTACCACAAAAGTTATCACGCAGGTTGCATTGAATATGTTTACCAGTCTTAGGATTGCGATATTGATGGCATAATCCGAAATCTACTAAGTATATTAATGTAGATTTGTCATCACGTCCAATTAATATATTATCCGACTTGATGTCCTGGTGTATATAATTTTTGGAATGTACGAATTTGATTCGATCAATTAATTGAACGCCAATCATAAGTATGGTTTTCAAAGAAAATTTTCTTTCACAAAAATTAAACAACTCTTCCAGTGAGGGTCCCAACAAGTCCATTACTAAGACATTATAAGTTTTTTCCTTACCGAAATAGAGAATGTTTGGAAATCCAACGCCACCACTCAATTTACTATAAAGGTTAAATTCATTTTCGAGCATTAAGAGGCGATTTTCACCATTTTCTATTTTAATCGCTACTGGCTTATTAGTTTGGTTGTTAATTGCTAAGAAGACTTCCCCAAAGCCCCCACTCTTAATTTTTTTCAAGCATTTGTACTTTTTACCATCCACGAAATCAATTAATAAACTTTTGTTAGATTTATTATAATCTAAATAATTCATTTCTGTTAAAATTCGATTAAGAAGCTCACAATTTTTCACTAATATATGCGACAGTTAGTCTGAGGATATTTGTAATTGATTTAAAAAAGTTTTGAAATATTAAACAAAAATATTTGAAATATTCAAATATTCTACTGAGATCAAAAAACTTGTCATATTGTCTAGAATACATTTATATTTTATTATTATGTTGAGGCTAGTTGAGTCAGTGCACTTGCGCACTTTTACTCTCTATTAACTGCGAGGTTTCTTCATAACGCTTAGAACGTAGAACGTCTTGACTGGATTATTGTTTATCACTTCATCAGATTAAGCAATCACTGACCTCAGATATACATACCTCCCCGAGGAGGCTGTAACCAGAGCCAGTAACCATTCTGAGATTCGATAACGTGCTGTTGGTAAGTTTATCACTTTTCGTAAATAGTTTCAGGGCTCTATCCTTTATATATTTTTTCATCGGATCAAACTTGAGGTCCCTCAGGATGTCATTCGTCTTAATATACCATTCCACCTTGAAATGTCTTCTCAAAGCTTGGCTTTTCTGTAATATTTTTAGTTTACAATCTTCTTTTTCAAGATAATGAGGTTCAAATTTTTATCAAAAGTATTTCAATTCAATTGAACTTATGATGTATATACTCACAGACTTATATATACCCATATATATACATTTAATGTCATACATTTACAGTATACAGTATACTTTACAGCATACATGTATACTTTCATTGTGTACATATATGTACACAATGATATAACCCAATTGGTATATATACCAATAGTAAGGAAAATTTAAAAATTGTAATTATAAATCAATTTTAACATATTGTGCTTTAAATGATGCTTCTTTTTGAAATGATACTTTGAACATAAGAAACACAATATATGTTGAAACTTATCCATATATTCATTTTCTGTACCTTCATCACTCTTCTGAAGCCTTTACCATTTAAAGCTTGTTTCGACACCAATGCTTTTTTCCATGTTTTGGATGACATACTTTGAAGTCTACTACTCTTTAGTTGCCTTTTGAGAAATTGTATAAGGATATATATTCTCGACTTGTTTTCAGTACTTGATAAGGATTTCGTACTCTTGTATATTTTTTTTTTGCTGCATAATTTATTATCACTTAACGATATTTGCTATCACATTTTAGGGATGCATCTTAGACAATACAATAATAAAAACCTGAATGCGTAACTGAATACCAATGTTAATTAAGCACAAATTATTTATATAAAGAACTTGAATATATACTCTTATTGAATCTTGTAAACTTTTTAAAATGTTCGAAACTATATCACTTTATAATGATTGAACTTTTTTATAATCTTATTGAATTTTGTAGAGTTTTCGTTATAATCGAAACTATCATTTTATGGTTGAAATCATAAAATTTATTAAAAAGCTTTAGCTGACTTCTTCTTTATAGTCATACGCAGAAAGCTTTTTATAACGAAAGTATATAGTTTTGAATAACTGAAATTATAAACTTTCGAAGTGCGAAAAACAATTTCTAAATTTATGGAAACTCGAGAAAAATATTTATTATGGCAACAACAAAGACCGTAATTTTGTGGTCTTCAACATCAATAATAACATCTCATATACATGAAAGCTTTCATTCCTAATTTGCTGCAAACTTCATAACAGTAAAATAATTTCCTTCTAATAATTTTCCTCTATTTAGGAAATTTCCCTTATTTCATATAAAAAGCTTTTAGTACTTTTTCTACAACATATTCACTTCGAAACAGCCTTAATTTTCCAATAGCGCGAATTTCCATTCGAGTTCGAAATTTAAGAAAGTTGTT